GCTTAATTTAATCGCTCGTCGGGCTGGTTCGCTCAGTAACCACGATCGGTTCGCTATCGGTTTCGGTATATTCGAACCTTCCGACATTCACGCAGTTATAATTATTAAATTTTTTTTGGACTTACAATATTATGACGGCTCGCATGATCGTTCGCTGTGTTAGTAGGTCGCTGACGCTGCAGTCCTTCGCTCGGCGTCTGATACGGCTGACGATGCTCGTCGTACGGCGGTCGTTGTCCGGCGTCGGTGCGTTATTCGTAGAGTTATCGTAGGTCGCGATGCTTGTCGGCTCACGTTTCTGCTACAGCTGTTGTGGCGATGCTCGTTCTGTTGTCCTTGCGTTGTCTTCCGTCGATTGTGGTTTCCGTCAGCTTACGTTTTACGTGTGCTGGCGTGCCTGTCCTGTTTACATCCTGGGTGCTTTGCAGGTCTTGGGGAAGGCTTGTTGCTTCCGTCCGTCAACTTCAATTGAATTGATTGCTGGCGTGCCCGCTTCTTTTAACACAACCGTGTCTTTTGCAGGTCTTGAGTGAGCTCTGGCGATGCCCCGGCAGATCCCACCGCTGCCACCAAATTATGTTATGCCTCCGGAGAGGCACGGTAGTTAGGATCGTTTGCCGGAAGGAATTTGGGAATTCGGGCTCCGCCCGAGTAACTCACTGATTTTATTATAAATAAAAATGACACTTTTGTATTTGGAATAAATATATATATATATCTGTTTTATTCGTAACTTGGCTTAATTACAAAGTTCCCGCACGTCACTCGCGTCGCGTATCGCGATAACGGATATCTTGGCGTGCGCATGTCTGGAGTCAAGTTTCGGTCGCGAGATTCACTCCTCGATCTTTCGTATTTCTTTCTGCCGACTGCGTGGCTTTAATTTAATAGTTTAATAGTTTCCCGGGAGGAGATCGTTTAGCGACAAGACCATATGTCGTGTCGCTCGATTTTGGCGGTAAGATCCGGATGCAAGCTAAGGAGTTCTAAGTAGGACTTCTTTGCTTGCATTTTCGCAATTTCCTTATTCTTTTTTATTTCGCTTTTAAGTAGGACTTCTACGTTGCATTTTCGCAACGTCCTTATTCCGCTTGCCCTGATTTCCGCGTTTTCGCAAGGAAGTGGTTGCACGGTCGCTCGGACTTCGCGCGTGGCTCGCGTTGTCAGCGCTTCGCTCGGTCAACGTTCGTAACGTGATCTGTATTCGCGTTACACATTGAGCAATGCCTTACCATATAAAATAATATATCTCTAAAATAATATATATCTAGTAATTCGTGTATAGCCTTTTCGGGCTATAACAGTGTACTGTGATGATTATATAAAAATAATCAGAAAATGTGTCGGCATGAAAGTAAATCGAAAGTTAGAGGTTAAGTAAAGTTCATATTAGTTATAACTGTACAACATAATTAAATTTTATTAAAAAAACAATAATTATATTTACATACCTTCTCTATATATTTCCTTCTCTAAGATAATCTTTTCTATTATCTTCTTAAAGTAAAATCTTTATTCATACGTCGAGCACATCACTATCGAACGAAGAACGAGAACTTTCTAATTCACAAGACCTAGCGCATGCGTGATTACGTCACAGCCTCGCGCCTCATCGTTCGATGAATCACTGCACTTATGCTTTAATTCAATCTTGTGCGTAAAGTTGAAAATTATATAAAAATAATCCTTGCTTTAATAAACATTTCTGCATACTTACTCTAAGCAATATATACACACACACACACATACATATATATATTATATACATATAATGGGACACATTACTTTCACAATATTTTTGAAATATTGCTATAATGTTGTTTGAACTATATTGCAAATTCATATCTATACAATATTTCTGCAACATTGCACTACAATGTACAATATTGTGACATTGCTGCAATGTTGCTGCAAGCTTGTGTGCTGTATGGGTTCAAGTGATTGCAGGAAGATAAATTATTATTGGGGATTATTAAAGTTGATTGACTGAAAGGAAACTGTCAGCAACATATTAATGCTTGACAGGGGTTTCTTTTATTATCAAAGTGATGAAATAGGAATTGAGGTAATGGTTTGGGCTGTCAGTCAATTGTTGATTCTGAAATAAAATTTGAGAATATAAGGGGTGTTAGTAACTGCAGGTACTTACTGTGTCGTAACAAGTAATTCTTTTTTAGCTCAATGTCCTTTGTATTTGTTTTAAGCCTTTCCTTCTCATTTGCAAAGACCTCGGTCCAGTGTTGTTAGACGGGCCAGGTTTTTTCGCGCATGCGTGACATTGCGTGACGTAACGATTACGTTTCCAGTCACGTATATATGTAATGTGATGGACGCGGGCCACGGAGCATCTCAGTTTTGGCGGGATCGCAAAGGACAGGTTAAGTATACTTTATGTAAGTAAATAATTTATTATAATTTGTGCAATAATTATAAAATTTGTGCAATATGGATCCAAATGTTGCTGAAGGAGCCATTAAAAAACAAAGAGTCCGGGTATTTCAAAATTCATGGTTAGATGAAAATATTTTTAAAGGATGATTGACTCCCCATTCCGAGCCGAATAAAGCTTTTTGTAGCATTTGTAACAAAAGTATTGCGTGTTGTAAAACAAATTTAGTAGCTCACTCACAATCCGTATGTAATCATGTAATATATGTTAATGATAATATATGTAGATAATATATAAATGTATATGTATTTATAAATTTAAATTTTAATAGACTCGTAAATCATATATTTTTTTGATACATGCCTTTTGTAATAAGTAATAATTTATTTAACTTCAGCTACTTTGCCAAGAAGTGGACTTGGTTTACAAAATATCCTTAACCATTCATACCTTCGATACACACATTCATACCTCTAAAACTAGTTAGGACTAGCTTATTTTATTTTATTTTTCTTCTTACTTTCTTTTCCTATTTTTAATTATTATTTCTTTCTCTATTCAAAATTTCCGTAATATCCTTCCTTTCATATTATCTATCTTATCATTCCAAATTCTATCCTCTATTTCCTTACAATTCTTATCTAAGTCTTTAAACCAGTCTTTGGTCAATTCACATTCCTTTACATAATGGCTTACACAATCTTTCCTATTACCGCAAAATACACATAACGTCGCTTCTTCCTTCAACCAATACTTATTTCTCTCCTCTATATTTCCGCATCTTACCCTTAACAATGTCCTTATCATATCTCCTGTATTACCCTTGTCTATATTGCCTTTCCTCAAATATCTTGGACCTTCTACTCTTGTTTCCAATTCCTTTCTTGTTATACTTGGCCTCACTAATTTTACCTTCCTCTACTTGCCTTTGCACATCCCAATCTCTCTCCTCTAATTCCTTCCTTAAATCAATTCCTCTCCTTCTTAATTCTTCTATAGTTTCGATACTCCATCTATTTCTATTATAATATCTTTCCCTTTCTCTACTATACATATCCTCCCATCCGTTATTTTTTTTTCAATCCAACACTTTTTTATCCATCTATTTTCATCCAACTATTTTATCTTTTCCTTATACTTTACTGCTATTAATCCTCGCTCTATTCTTAATTTTCAGTCTTAATTCTCTTGTCATTAGATACCTTGGTGTACAAAATTCTAATCTAAAAATCCATCTTACGTAATCCAGCATTACTTTTTCTAATTTCTTTTTTTCTTCCTATCCCCATATTTCCACCCCGTAAGCAGTGTTGTTAGACGGGCCAGGTTTTTTCGCGCATGCGTGACATTGCGTGACGTAACGATGACGTTTCCAGTCACGTATATATGTAATGTGATGGACGCGGGCCACGGAGCATCTCAGTTTTGGCGGGATCGCAAAGGACAGGTTAAGTATACTTTATGTAAGTAAATAAATTATTATAATTTGTGCAATAATTGTGCAATATGTGCAATATGGATCCGAATGTTGCTGAAGGAGCCATTAAAAAACAAAGAGTCCGGGTATTTCAAAATTCATGGTTAGATGATAAAGGATGGAAAGGATGGTTGACACCCCATTCCGAACCGAATAAAGCTTTTTGTAGCATTTGTAACAAAAGTATTGCGTGTTGTAAAACAAATTTAGTAGCTCACTCACAATCGGTCAAACATATGACAAAAGTAAACAGCTTAAATCAAACTGATCAAAGCCTTTCCGATGTTAGTACTATTCCACATAATAACAAAGTAAAACGCGCGGAAATAAAATTAGCATCATTTTTCGCGGAACATAATATTGCTTTTGACACTGTTGATCATTTAGTCTCTTTATTAAAAGATATTTCTATTGAGCCTGAAATTGTACGAGATGTTTCATTGGGCCGACTTAAGTGCACCCAAATTGTTAAAAACATTATAGCAAAATGAGAGACAGAAAAAATTATTGAAATTTTAAAAACTTTGCGCGAAAAAACCTGGCCCGTCTAACAACACTGCCTCGGTTGTGGATGAGATAGGCTGGATTGATGTACGCAGGTATATGCTCAAAGTCTTTTATTCCGGACTTTGCACAAATTGAGCTTATGAATCTAACGCGAGACTGACAGTGAACTAGACTAAGATGATCTGACAAGAGGCGTTGCCGCACTGCGAGTTAGAGACCCTCTAATAAGAGTCGCGAAATAACGTCCCTGATTTTGATTGGTGCCGCCATGCTTTGTCAAACTGATATACATATAATAGATACAATATGATTGTGTACGATCATTATGGTAGTGTCTGTAATATGAACGTAAGCAGAAACATGTATTTAACAAAACATGGCGTCATCGACCTAACTTACAAAACGTTACTTCGCGACTCTTATTAGAGGGTCTCTACTGCGAGTGAGTGAGAGTGTGTGCGTGTGCCTGTGCGCGTGCGCGCGCGCGCGCGCGCGTGTGTGTGTGTGTGAGTGACTGGACTGGACTAACTGACTACTGACTCTGTCTCTACTCTACTGGTCACTAGGGTAAAAATCTGCAGCTTATATAGCATTGAGAAGAAAAAACGTTACGGATCGTTCCGTATGCCTTGTGCAGATCGTTCTGAGAATTTAGTTTCTCACTCGGCATGTAATTTTGCTGAAATACTGTAATGTTCGGAAATGGTACAAAAATATTTCATTAATATTTCAATTGTAATTTTGCATCCGAAGTATTTCAGTAATGTACCTACATCATATTTTTTTAAAATATTGCATTTACAATATTTCTGAAATCTTTCAGAAAGTCCTTTTGTAACTAGTATTAAAATTATAGTTTATTTGCTTACCGCTATGCGGCGCGCTATTCACTATCTATCCCCGTATTCAAATTTTTGTCATGAGCGTATATAAAGCCTGCAAAATGCGGTTAATAATATTGTAATTATTTTTATCAGTTTAATTTCTGATGCGACTTCCATACCGGGAAATTTAGATATTGAATTGAAAGGTGTAATATTTCAAATAGAATATTGCAGCAATGTATCAGAAGTATTACATGCCGAGTGGGTTGCGTTCTAGAAATTCATTAAGGTGAAAGTCTTCTACGAAAATCTATGATGAAACTTTTTCTAAGTATTGCCTATCGATTACCAGTAAGTCCTAAGTCGATTGTTTATGTTTTTGGCGTCTACGTCGCGGATGCACGGAGCCGCCGCGGATCTACGCACCTGTTTATCGCTCGTTGTCTCGGATAGCTTTACAATATTAAAGCTATAGTATAATATGAAAACTATAGTATAATACGAAAAACTATAGTATACCCAGACAGCACAAGAATGTCCTTAGGACGTCCAAAGGACATCCAATATATACATGTAGGATATCCTGAGGATATCCCATTTTAATCCTCGGATCTCCTCTGGATGTCCTGAGAAAGAATAAATGATAGCCGTATCCCATACAGCACCGAAAGATTGCAGAAACATTGCATAGATCTTACATTGAAACATTATAATATTGCATGGAAGTTGCGAAATGTTTCTGCAATGTTACTGCAAGCCT